TGCGTGAAAAATAAAAAGCGCACAGATGATCAAATACCACCGAAAGAAAGCTCTATTTGTGTGAAAAAAGGACGTAAATTTTTTTTTCGTTTGGGTGCAGCATTGCATGACCGCGTAATTATCAGTTGAATTAGTGCAGCGCCAAGTAGCAAAAAGAGGCGTGGTCATTAAGGGGGGTAAATCCTCTGGAGGGCAAGTGGTTAATATAACTCCTTCTACTGCTTCCATCAGGGCTGAAGGCTCTTAAGAGGGAGGGTGCTGTTTTGTTTTTAGGAATGTACAGCACTCTGCTGGCCCCTCCCACCAGCCATGTTCTGCCTGCATTGCATAGAGGAGTACAGAGGTCCAGCGATGACATCACTGGATCTAAAATAAGGTATATAATGAAATGCATGTGCAATATGTGGCTCCGGGCACATATTTTAAGCAGATTTTCTCCTGTCAGGTATTTTGGCATTCAGAGGAGAAAAAGCAAACGTCATGTGAGAAGAACACCTAAGAACACCCTTTGCTAGCTGAAAAAAAAAAGGGGGACCTCGAAGGGGAATTGCTGTCAGTAAATGTAAGAGAGCATCCTAGGGGGGGAGAGGTGACCCACGCCGTGATCCTCCCACAATGAAGAAAAAGGTGTAAAATATATGTCTAAACATGGATAAAACATACCAAATGTGCATAAGTGCAGGCAGAAAAAATACACCCACTCCGTCTACAGAACTGTGAAAGGGCCCACACACAAGGAATCTTTGTCCCTTTAAAATCTTTTAGAACAATGTAAAGTAAAAGAAAACCAAATAGCGAATGTTTTATCTGATTTCCATGCATGCTTGTTACGTGGCCCATTGTGAAATGTCCTGAAATGGAACACACTGCATATTTGTCAGTGAAGATAAGAAAGACATCTGGATAGGAAAGAGCTTTAAACTACAAAACAACAATAACAATGTCAGCTCAAGATGATATCAATCTAATATGCTATAATGGATTTGGATAAATCCACTGCACAATAGAAAATGAATGTATTCTCTATTGTACATTGGATTTATAGGCGTACCTCGGTTTACGAATTTAATGCGTTCTCCGGGACGTTTCGTATTGCGAAGAATTCGTAAACCGAAATGCGGTTTCCCATAGGAATGCTTTGAAAACCAATTAATCCGTTCTGGAGGTCAGAAAAAAGTAAAAAAAAAAAAGTATTTTACCTGTTCACAACTCTTTATAACTTGCACTTTAAAAGCATAAATACTGTACAGGGACATGATTAAAAATTAATTCGTAATGCATTGAAAACCAATTAATCTGTTCCGGAGGTCAGAAAAAAGGCAAAAAAGTTTTATCTGTTCATAACTCTTTATAAAGTGCACTTTAAAGGCATAGATACTGTACAGCAGTGGTTCTCAACCTTCCTAATGCCGTGACCCTTTAATACAGTTCCTCATGTTGTGGTGACCCCCAACCATAAAATTATTTTCGTTGCTACTTCATAACTGTAATTTTGCAGTGAAAGGAATAGTGCAACATCACTGATGTCAGTGGGAGGAATAGTGCCACATCACTGATGTCAGTGGGAGGAATAGTGCCCCATCACTGATGTCAGTGGGAGGAATAGTGCCCCATCATTGGTGTCAGTGGGAGGAATAGTGCCCCATCATTGGTATCAGTGGGAGGAATAGTGCCCCATCATTGATGTATCAGTGGGAGGAATAGTGCCCCATCACTGATATCAGTGGGAGGAATAGTGTCCCGTCATTGGTGTCAGTGGGAGGAATAGTGTCCCATCATTGGTGTCAGTGGGAGGAATAGTGCCCCATCACTGATGTCAGTGGGAGGAATAGTGTCCCGTCATTGGTGTCAGTGGGAGGATTGATGCCCCGTCATTGGTGTCAGTGGGAGGAATAGTGTCCCATCATTGGTGTCAGTGGGAGGAATAGTGCCCCATCACTGATGTCAGTGGGAAGAATAGTGTCCCGTCATTGGTGTCAGTGGGAGGAATAGTGTCCCAGCATTGATGTCTGTGGGAGCAATAGTGCCCCATCATTGGTGTCTGTGGGAGGAATAGTGTCCCATCATTGGTGTCAGTGGGAGGAATAGTGCCCCATCATTGGTGTCAGTGGGAGGAATAGTGCCCCATCATTGGTGTCTGTGGGAGGAATAGTGCCCCATCATTGGTGTCTGTGGAGGAATAGTGCCCCATCATTGGTGTCAGTGGGAGGAATAGTGCCCCATCATTGGTGTCAGTGGGAGGAATAGTGCCCCATCATTGGTGTCAGTAGGGAGGAATAGTACCCCATCATTGGTATCAGTGGGAGGAATAGTGCCCCATCATTGGTATCAGTGGGAGGAATAGTGCCCCATCATTGGTATCAGTGGGAGGAATTATTATTATTATATTATTATTATACAGTATTTATAAAGCGCCAATAGTTCGCTCAGCGCTGTACATTACAAAGGGGGACAGAGCATGTGACAGAACAATACCAATACAATGTGATACACGAGGGGAATAGTGCCCATCTTTGGTATCAGTGGGAGGAATACTGTCCCAGCATTGATGTCTGTGGGAGCAATAGTGCCCCATCATTGGTGTCAGTGTGGGAGGAATAGTGCTCCATCATTGATGTCAGTGTGGTGGGGGAATAGTGCCCCATCATTGGGGTCAGGGGGGGGGAATAGTGTCCCATCATTGATGTCAGTGGGGGGGGGGGATAGTGTCCCATCGTTGGTGTCGTGGGGGGAAGAATAGTGCCCCATCCTTGGTGTCAGTGGGAGGGGGAATAGTGCCCCATTGTTGGTGTCAGTGGGGGGAGGAATAGTGCCCCATCGTTGGTGTCAGTGGGGGGAGGAATAGTGTCCCATCGTTGGTGTCAGTGGGGAGAGGAGTAGTGCCTCATCGTTGGTGTATGTGTGGGAGAAATAGTGCCCCATCATTGGTATTAGTGACACCAATGATGGGGCACTATTCCTCCCACTGACACCAATGATACTTACCTTGCTGACTCCTGCTCCAGCCTGGGCTTGCTCCCTCCCTCTCCCATCTACAGCCAGCATACCTGGCTGCAGCAGCAAAATTTGCACAGTACAGACACTTACCTGTCAGCTGTCTTCCTTCTCTGGCCGCTCTACTCTTCACTCGCTCCGGCAGCTCCCTTACTCAGTCTTCTTTGATCTACGCGCGCTGCCGCTCGGCTCCTCCTCTCCAAGCTCCACCTCCTCGCCGGTGATTGGCCGCCGGTGTGCCTCTCTGAGCTACAGTTCCGGTGGCCAATCACCGGCGAGGAGGCGGAGCTGTTGAGTGATCCCGGAGGTGTGGCCAGGTGACAGGGGCAGCATGTCATCCCGCCCACACATCGACTGAGACGGATAGAGGAGCGGTGTCTTGGTTCCTAAGACCATTGGAAATATGTGTTTTCTGATGGTCTTAGGCGACCCCTGTGAAATGGTCGTTCGACCCCCAAAGGGGTCGCGACCCACAGGTTGAGAACCGCTGCTGTACAGGGACATGAGTGAAAAAAAATTTGGAAATGCATTGAAAACCAAATAATCCGTTCTGGAGGTCTGAAAAAGGTAAAAAAAAAATCTTATCTGTTCAAAACTCTTTATAAAGTGCACTTTAAAGGCACAGGGCCGATGCTATAAACCTCCCAGGCGCAATGCATCCTGGGGGAACTTACTTCGTATTGCGAAAAAAATTTGTAAACTGAAAATTACGCGAACCAAGGCTTTCATAAACCGAGGTACACCCAGGGGCGGACTGACAACTCATGGGGTCCCCGGGCAATAGAGGATCATGGGGCCCCTGTGTGCTTGCCCAAACTCAAAAAAGCCTATGAAAAAGGTACCAGGGGCATCTCATGGCGCCCCCTACTGACCCCAGGCCCTCGGGCACTGCTCGAGTTTCCAAATGGTCAGTCCGCCCCTGGGTACACCTGTATATAATTTTTAAAGTTGGCCCTCTATGGATCGAAACTCGTCAGGTTAAGCAGGGACCGGCCGAATTTCGATCCATGCATGGTTGGGTTTTTGAGTTGACTGTTGGGTTTTTCCCGAACGATCAGTGCCGCAGGATATAGCCAACAACACTGATCATTGTGTCCTGCGAGTGGGGAAGGCTCCCTACCAGCATCAAAAGTGTGGATGGGGAACTCAGCTCATTTTTTTTTGGTGCAACCCACTGGTTGAATGGAAAAAAAAAAAAGAAATGTATGGTCTGCCAAACTTTCATTGTTGATTTTATTATTTTTAGTTAAAAGAAGAATTCCAGGTATGGATATTTTATGATTAGTTACTTTGGCGCAGCTTGGACAAGTGTAGCTATGTATCGTATATACCATACTTGGCTGATGCCCTGGAAGCTGGAAATCACTGAAGTAGACACAGCTATGTGATCTCCACCAACTTCCACGTCCTGTGCTGAGCGGGAGGGAGGTCAGCCGCTAGGCATGGATGCCATTCAGAGAATGCTTTGCATTTTCGGATTATATGTGAAGCATTCTCTGATTGGACAAGGCTAATAGCATGATGTCACCACCCCACCTCTCACCTGTGTGCTTGGTCTGGGTCAGTGATATCAAGGGGTGTGTTTTATAAAAAAAAAAATCATGGAGCAGTTTGTCCTATGAAACTGCATGAGCAGTCCTTTTCTGCAAATCTTATTTGGCCTTTTTTTTTCCTCCAGGTCAAAAATTTAGAAAAATACCACATCATGGCCACTGGAGGGAGTTGATGATCATAGAAAATAAGATTTATTTTCTATAATCATCCGCTCCCTCTAGTGGCCATCATGCAGTATTTTTCAGATTCACTGTGAAGAATGTTCAGTCTGGATAAAACGTACCTAATAACATTCGATTTTGCAGAGGGCAAATATACATGCAGTTTTAAAAGATGAAAAAATTGTTACTTTTTCATAAATACACCCAAAAACATTGAGGCCAGAGACAATCAGTCCCATAACATGTTTTCCTTTAACAATATATATATATATATTTTTTTTTTTTGTACAGTCTTTGATCTTCCTTGTACGGGATTGGAGCTTCCCATATGAATTCCCTTATGGTGCTGATGGCGGAGCAAAGTTTCTAGAAAAAACGGCTGAAGGTTTGTTAATAAGTTTCCTTTGTCACTTCAAGAGCCTGTGCAAAAATAAAAGGAGCAAGATACTGAACACTTTACTAGGACATTTAGGGGTTTATTTACTAAAGCTGGAGAGTCCAAAATCAGGCTCACTTCTGCATAGAAACCAATCAGCTTCCAGGTTTCATTGCCAAAGCTTCATTGAACAAGCTGAGGTTAGAAGCTGATTGGTTTCTATGCAGAAGGGAGTCTGATTTTGGACTCTCCAGCTTTAGTAAATAAACCCCTTATTGTCCTATGGACACTTATACTGGGGTTTTACATCTATACTAGGTTTTTATGGATGGTTTACATTTGTATATATAAAGAAGTATATGATTTTTAAATATATTGTATCACTATATGGCTTTGCCTTAAAAGTCTGTCCTTACAATTTGACATTTTTGCATTAAAAACTCTAAGAAAAATAATGAAATGATCCTTGTAGCACAGGAGGAACTCCATTACAAGGGTTGCATTGAATTCCATTCAATCCATTTACTTTTTGGTTCATTCACGCATTCGATTAATTGCATTGCATTCTGTTGCACCCAATGTGACCCCATTGGGGAGATTTTTCCTAACTTCCTGTCACAGTGACAGCTGTGCAAGAAAAGAGGAGTGTGGTTGTCACTTGGGACAAGAAGACAAGCACAACAAAGAAATATTGTCAGAAGTTCTCTCCCTTCCCCATGCAACTAATTATTTGTTTTTGCCTGTGCCCCTGTTGGAGTGATTTCACGCCTCTTCCTGTCCTACTCCACTTGGGTAATAAAAACCCGTCTCTAATTCTTCCCAGTTCTATCCAAAGAAAATACGTGTCGTGTGAAGCTGTGATTTATGTAATGGAGACCTGAGAGTTGCAAGTTGTGCTGTGCTATCACACCAGTCATTTTGAGAGCACAAGCAACTGTGATAGATATCATTTGCAGCATGCCTTAAAGTGTTACTAAACCCCAAATCTTGCATTCACTATATCCAATCTCCCCGGACCCTGCATTCACTATATCTGGTCTCCCCAGACCCTGCATTCACTATATCCGGTCTCCCCGGACCCTGCATTCACTATATCCGGTCTCCCCGGACCCTGCATTCACTATACCGGTCTCCCCGGACCCTATTCACTATATCCGGTCCCCCGGACCCTGCATTCACTATATCCGGTCTCCCCGGACCCTGCATTCACTATATCCGGTCTCCCCGGACCCTGCATTCACTATATCCGGTCTCCCCGGACCCTGCATTCACTATATCCGGTCTCCCTGGACCCTGCATTCACTATATCCGGTCTCCCCGGACCCTGCATTCACTATATCCGTCTCCCCAGGACCCTGCATTCACTATATCGGGTTCCCCGGACCCTGCATTCACTATATCCGGTCTCCCCGGAACCCTGCATTCACTATATCTGGTCTCCCTGGACCCTGCATTCACTATATCCGCTCTCCACAGACCCTGCATTCACTATATCTGGTCTCCCCGAAACCTGCATTCACTATATCCACTCTCTCTCCCGGACCCTGCATTCACTATATCTGGTCTCCCCGGACCCTGCATTTACTATATCTGGTCTCCCCGTTCCCTGCATTCACTATATCTGATCTCCCCGAACCCTGCATTCACTATCCGCTCTCCCCGACCTGCATTCACTATATCTGGTCTCCCCGGAAACCTGCATTCACTATATCCACTCTCCCCGGACCCTGCATTCACTATATCTGGTCTCCCGTTTCACTATATCCGCTGGACCTTGCATTCACTATATCTGGTCTCCCCGTTCCCTGCATTCACTATATCTGATCTCCCCCCGAACCCTGCATTCACTATATCCGCTCTCCCCGGACCTTGCATTCACTATATCTGGTCTCCCCGGACCCTGCATTCACTATATCCGCTCTCCCCAGGACCCTGCATTCACTATATCTGGTCTCCACGGACCCTGCATTCACTATATCTGATCTCCCCGGACCTGCATTCACTATATCCGGTCTCCCCGGACCCTGCATTCACTATATCCGGTCTCCCCGGACCCTGCATTCACTATATCTGGTCTCCCCCGGACCCTGCATTCACTATATCTGGTCTCCCCGGACCCTGCATTCACTATATCTGGTCTCCCAGGACCCTGCATTCACTATATCTGGTCTCCCCGGACCCTGCATTCACTATATCTGGTCTCCCCGGACCCTGCATTCACTATATCTGGTCTGCCCGGACCCTGCATTCACTATATCTGGTCTCCCCGACCCTTCATTCACTATATCTGGTCTCCCAGGACCCTGCATTCACTATATCTTGTCTCCCTGGACCCTGCATTCACTATATCCGCTCTCCCCAGACCCTGCATTCACTATATCCGCTCTCCCCGGACCCTGCATTCACTATATCCGGTCTCCCACAGTACACACAACATGGAAATACAATTACGTTAGTAAATATAAACTGCTAAATACCTTTTCTCATCAGCAGTATATAGCAGTCTTGTGACTTCTATCAGTGTCCAGGAGAACACACTGGTTAAAGCTTGTAGGAGGAATTTTCATTCTCCCCTGATTGTCCTATGAGGCTGCAGAACCTCTGACCCTCTGTCTGGACAGTGCTGATTGGCCCTATGCTTATCGCATACACTCTCTCACCAGAAAAAAACCTCTCTAGCAATAAACACCAAACTGAGCATGTGTAGCTGGTCCCCAAGGCTCTGTTATATCAGGAGATGGATTGGGGACAGTAGAAGAAGGGGAGGATCAGATAAGACAGGAACAAACAGCCTTTTTACACAATGTGAAGGATTAACCCATTAGGTTCCACAGTGAGTATAACAAGTATACTGCACATACAGACTTTACTGTTGTGGGTTTAGTAGCACTTTAATGTAATTTTTAAAAATTTTCTTAATTATATTTTTTCTTTTTTTTTTTACTATTTTTTTTCAACACACTGTGACCAGAGCAATACAGCGTTACCATAGTAACATTGTACTACTCTGGGCAAGTGATCAGGATTTTTTTTTTTTCGTTACACATCATCATTGCTTATACCAGTGCATTTCATTGATATTAGCAAACATTTTTACTGAATGAAACTGATTCATTCAGTGTCTTTTGTTGTGATTAGCTGTGATTGGCCAAAGCTCATCACATAGTACAGATGGGCTGTGATTGGTCCTGCCTGTACCATGTGACTGCTGTGACTAATCACAACTAACAACACGGCATGAAATGAAGCCATCCATTGTATACAATTGTCATGTGATCTGCTGTGATTGGTTACAGTGATCACATGACACTGGGAGCGGGTTGCTGTAGTGATCTGTCATCGACTGTGTCAGGTGGACAAAGCCAGTGACAGTTTGCGCAGTGGCGTGGCCCTACGGCCCAGTGAGTGGTGCCTTCTGAGAGGACGTCATATGACATCCACTCAAAAGGAGGAGTATCCTGCTTGGTCGTCAATCTGTTATAGGCCAGGTGGGAAGGTGTTAAAGTACCATAGAGTACCAGGCTTCAGCAGTCTTTCAGCAAGCTTCAAGAAGTGCTGAAGCCTGCCAGCAGCTTGCTTAAAGTAGCAATCAGCACTCTTATTAAGATCTGAGTTCAACATTTACAAGCTGGAGCTATATGATACTTTAAAAAGCTTCAACAAAGCTTCCTGAATGCTCTGCAAATACGTTTTCAAAGCTTGCCGTTCACACTGCTCTTATACAAGCTGAAGCCTGTGAGAAACAGGCCTTACTGTCTTGTGAACCAGGTAGGTCTCCTCCATTCAAGTGCTGCAGCCTCTGGATCAGAATAAAATGCAGTTGGGAAACTGCACTATATTGCCAAAAGTAATGGGCCCGCCCTCCAAATCATGTGATTCAGGTGTTCCAATCCCCTCCATGGACACAGGTGTATAACATCAAGCCCCTAGGCATGCAGACTGCTTCTACAAACATTTGTGAAAGAATGGGTCGCTCTCAGGAGTTCAGTGACTCCAAGCGTGGTCCCGTGATAGGTTGCCACCTGTGCAATAAGTCCATCCGTGACATTTCCTGGCTACTAAATATTCCACGCTCAACTGTGGAAGCAACTGGGAACAATGGCAACTCAACAGCCACCAAGTGGTAGGCCACGTCACATGACAGAGCGGGGTCAGCGCATGCTGAAGCGCACAGTGCGCAGAAGTCACCAACTGTCTGCAGAGTCAATAGCTAAAGACCTCCAAACTTGGTGTGGCCTTCAGATGAGCCCAACAACAGTGCGTAGAGAGCTTCATGGAATGGGTTTCCATGGCCGAGCAGCTGCATCCAAGCCTTACATCACTAAGTGCAATGCAAAGTGTCGGATGCAGTGGTGTAAAGCACGCCGCCACTGGACTCTAGAGCGGTGGAGACATGTTCTCTGGAGTGACCAATCACGCTTCTCTGTCTGGCAATCTGATGGAAGTGTCTGAGTTTGACGGTTGCCAGGAGAACGGTACTTGCATGACTGCATTGTGCCAAGTGTAAAATTAGAAGGAGGGGAGATTATGGTGTGGGGTTGTTTTTCAGGGGTTGGGCTTGGCCCCTAATTCCAGTGAAGGGAACTCTTAAGGCATCTGCATACCAAGACATTTTGGACAATTTCATGCTCCCAACTTTGTGGGAAGAGTTTGGGGATGGCCCCTTCCTGTTCCAACATGACTGCCCACCAGTGCACAAAACAAGGTCCATAAAGACATGGAGGAGCCAGTTTGGGGTGAAGGAACTTGACTGGCCTGCACAGAGTCCTGACCTCAACCCCATAGAACACCTTTGGGATGAATTAGAGCAGAGAAAATGAGCCAGGCCTCCTCCCCCGACATCAGTGCCTGACCTCACAAATGTGCTTCTGGAAGAATGGTCCAACCTTTCCATAGACACCCTCCTAAACCTTGTGGACGGCCTTCCCAGAAGAGTTGAAGCTGCAAAGGGCGGGGCCAACTCAATATTGGACCCTACAGACTAAGACTGGGGGGCCATTATAATTCTTGTGTGTGTAAAGGCCGGCGGCCCAATACTTTGGCAATATAGTGCATATGTCAACCCATTCATTAAATATCAGATAAGACTAAAAATGTTATGTCACTTCAGCAAAATTTCATTGTATTAAAATAATTAAATTTAAATTTTATTAACATAATCCCTGGTGATCCTGCCATGATGATCTTGTTCAGGCACTTCCTGGTATAGGGTGACAACGCTCTATCCCTGTCCCCTAGTTGTCCTCCTGTGTTGTCATCCTGTCACAGGGACTCCCGGTGGAGACTAGAAGCAGTCATTTTAGCACGTTTCACAGGTGTGCTCACCTGTTGTCACCAGAAAACCTGCCGTGAGAAATGTCATGCAGACAACGCTGAATTAGAGATAGATATGAAATGGCTGTAAAGAGGCTGCAAGAGATCAGCAGAAATAAGATACCGCAAAGAGGGGAAAAAAAGTGAAAACAATATTTTAATAAAATAAAATGGCAGTTATTCGTGGTACACGGTGCTTTATCATGAAACGTCCTTCACTTAGGGCTTAAATCTACTTTAAACTGCAGAATAATTTTTTTTTTTTTTTGCTTTTCAAGTATACTTTTGCCTGTGAATTAAACATATATATTGATCTGTTGTGTCAGGTGTCTGAGAATCAGCACGAAGAATTGCAGAATGTCAGGAAACACATCCACTCTTGTTTTACTAACATCTCCTGCTTCCTCCTGCCACATCCCGGCCTCACCGTAGCCACCAATCCCAAGTTTGATGGCAAACTTAGAGGTATGTTGTAGTATTTGCACAATGGCTTCCATCTGCTTTTCAATGGATGCTATATGAATGGTATACAGGATAAGATACATGCCAACAAAAGGTCAAAGTCCACCCAAAGCTGATATTGTAGATATGGATGGAAAGAGTTGGGCTAAACCACCCACCATATTCTTCACTGATTTCATTAGACCTCTCCTCTAGCTTCCAAAGCAGCCGATCAGATACAGATTGGTCTGATTGGCTGCTTTGTTGGCTGGCACCTGGCCAGTAAGCACAAAACGGAAACCAGAAGTGATAAAATACTCGTCGCTTCTGGTTTCTTAGACCATAGAGATCATCGGGGACCTTCCAGTCCTAAATGACCTCTATGGTCACCCGGGGGAATCACCGGCTGCAATCCCAGGTGATTTATACATGGAATGGGAGAGCCCGGAAAGGCAGTGGACCCACCTCCCGCCATCTGTAAAAGCAATCCAGCAGCTAATTAGCCACTAGGATCACTTTTAAAAAAAAAGAGAATCGTCGCTCGTCTTCCTTCCGGGTTTTAGGCTCTGGCTCTTTAAATGGCCGAGCTGCAATGGTGTCACTCCTGCGCATGCTCACTATGCCTTCAGTTGAGAGCGCTGTGTGCATGTACTGGTGACATCACTGGCTGTAAAAATAGAGAATATCTTCTAGAGAATAGATAGAGTGTATGTAACCCTAAGGTGCATGTTTAGAAGATATGCATTGTAAGCTTTATTAAAATATAATCAACAAAAAGAACCTTAAAAGGGATTCAGTAGCACAATGAACTGTATATGTGCATAAAAATAGACAAATTAGTGATCAAAAAAAATGTGAAAAACTGAAAGTCCATAAAAAGTCTTTTCCACCAAATGAATGTTCCAATTCCCAAAAGATCACCACGTGCAATAAAATAGTGTTCCCCCTTTCGGGTGTGCACTTAGCCATGCGAGAGGCATGTGGGAGATTCTCATGGGTGGCTAAAATCGCTTAATAAATGGATCCAAATGGGAAGGAGATCAATCATAAATGTATATTATCACGCTCCTCTATGCTCATCCTCCAATTGCCATGATCAGTTGACACCAATTTATAAATGGCGCTCCCTAGTCACTTCCGATCACCGCACAGCCTCGCCCTGACGCGTTTCGTCATATCCGACTTAGTCATAGAGTGACGCGGGAGCGCCATTGTTTGGGATCCGGCGGTGGTCAGAGCATTGCCTTGATAACCACCAGTGTTTTTGAACTCACTGCATTACTTATGGGCTTTTTATCTACTTATATTTTGTAAGTGGCTGTCTGTATAGCGATTAAAGGTCTCATTTTGTACTGCACCATTGGATTTCATTTTTTGTTTCCACATGACCACTGATCCTGAATGAGAGAGATTAAGGAGGAGGAGAGGAGGAGAGTGCCATCCATGTTGCTATTAGTTCCTTATCATTAGGATCTTGTCAATTTATGAAGTGGTGTCAAATGATCATGGCAATTGGACGGGGCGGGAAGGAAAACTTTTCTTGATCAAATGAATTTTCGGCCAGTGTATGTGATTATCGTTCAGAAATTACATTCATTTTAAAATCTAATGTTAAAAGCAAAAGACAATTTTTGATCGACATTCGACCGTTCATCGACTGTGCAAAAAATTTTATTTACGCATATTCTCCCGAAAATCTACACGTGTATGGCCAGCTTAAATCTGGATCCGAGTATACCAGTGACCAATCACAGAAATATTCAGAATAAAGCAAGGTGCACCGCTAAAATGTTATATTCAGATATATGGACATGTAATATTCAAACATCCTCATATAAAAAATACAATAAAATAACATAAACCGATATCAAGGTGCAAGTAAAAACGTCACCTAATGGTGACTAATAGGTGATTGGGCACTAGACCAAATACAGTCTATAGCGTGAGTAGAAAAGATCCCAAATGATCTTCAAAAATCCAATGGCTGGATCCGTGGATGAGGTGATGGATGTATAAAGATTGCGCACTCACCAGATACACAATCTCAATGCGCATTTAGGGTAGATAATCTCAGGACATCAAGGATCCTTATGTGGGTCTGGTCAGATCTGGTCAAATGCTCCTCACTGCTTGGTAGTGCTGCCACATTTGGAAATAGCCACTCTGCAGATGTAAATGGTTCCCACCGGAGCTCAAACAACAAAAGGAGGCCAGATAGTGTGATATCCTTATGATAACCCCCTATGACTACGTGCCCTCGCACGAAACGCGTCAGCTGGCGGCTACAGCGGTGTGACGTCACGCCGACCGGCGCCACGAGGGCCCCGGCGGCCATTTGCATATGTATGGGTCAGTATTTTTTCTTGCTCCGACCTGTACCTTTTTGGAATAAACACTCCTTATCATAAGGATATCACACTATCTGGCCTCCTTTTGTTCTTTGAGCTCCGTTGGGAGCCATTTACATCTGCAGAGTGGCTATTTCCAAATGTCGCAGCACTACCAAGCAGTGAGGGGCATTTGACCAGATCTGACCAGACCCACATAAGGATCCTTGATGTCCTGAGATTATCTACCCTAAATGCGCATTGAGATTGCGTATCTGGTGAGTGCGCAATCTTTATACATCCATCACCTCATCCACGGATCCAGCCATTGGATTTTTGAAGATCATTTGGGATCTTTTCTACTCACGCTACAGACTGTATTTGGTCTAGTGCCCAATCACCTATTAGTCACCATTAGGTGACGTTTTTACTTGCACCTTGATATCGGTTTATGTTATTTTATTATATTTTTTATATGAGGATGTTTGAATATTACATGTCCATATATCTTAATATAACATTTTAGCTCTGCACCTTGCTTTATTCTGATCATTCTGGAGGTTTATATGGTGCCTTTTTGGTGTTCAGCTGCTGTTTTTTTCCTTTCAACTCAATTATAATTTTACTCTAGCGCTCACTTACCCTGTGATTTACTAATCTCAGAAATATTGCCAGCAGTGTAAAAGTTTCAGAAGGAGCTTTCACATATAAAGCAGGATCATGGCAGAGCAGATGGGGACAATGCAGACTTTGTACATTTGTTGTGAACGGTCAGCCCATTGTTGTGTTATCAGCTTCTTATAGCTTAATGGGGGCTTATCAGAGACTGATTGCTGTGTCCTTCAATGGAAGTCCTGGACAGGAAATAAGCAGGAAGGAGCTAGTCCTTGGAAAAGGATCAGAACTATGGGCTTTTCTGTGCCTATAGATATTAGAAAGTCAAGCTGGAGATCCAGCATTAGATTATCAATTGGAGGTTTAGGTGAAAATTCTTAGTACATTCAAGGACTGAACGAATGTCATTGCTTTTAACATTTTTGATTTAGGAACCAATGGACTTTCCAGAACAAAAACTGCATTCACTGTTAGACATTTGTTCATTCAAGAAAAATGTTCCATCATGCTCCTTTGAATTTTCTCAAAGAAATGCTGATCCGAACCCTCTATCAATCAGAAAATTGGCCAAACGTTCTTAAAATGAATTAAATTTGAACAAAAGTCTGCTAGTGTATGGCCAGCTTTAGGCTTCCTATGGAAGGTGTGTAGACCCCTCTATGGCCCTCTTCGACCAGATGTTGACCAGAAAAGGTGGATTCTCCCAGACGATTGCTATTTTTTCCCTTTATTTATTTATTTATTTCAGGTACTTATATAGCGCTGTCAATTTACACAGCGCTTTACATATATATTGTACATTCACATCAGTCCCTAACCCTCAAGGGATGTACAATCTAAGGTATTTATGGAAATAAGTACCCACAGCCAGGGGTGGACTGACAACTCATGGGGCCCCCGGGCAATAGGGGATCATGGGGCCCCTGTGTCCTTGCCCAAACTCAAAAAAGCCTATGAAAAAGGTACCAGGGGCATGTCATGGGGCTCCCTACTGACCCTGGGCCCTCGGGCAGTGCCCGAGTTTCCAAATGGTCAGTCCGCCCCTGACCACAGCACTCCCTTCTTCCTTAAAGGGTTGCTTCACTCTCCCTGGTCCCTGCTGTACCCACCTCTGTGGGTAGTGGGCTGTCAGCGCTCATATAGCCAATGCAGCGGCACAGGGATTTTAAATCCCCACTCTTCTCCCTCTTCTCTGTGCAGCGCTTCCTGGATAGATCATAATGATTCTTTGTGCTGGCACTGACCAATCAGAATCACTCTGATCTGTGTTGGAAGCCCTGCAGAAGGAAGGGGGAGAAAAGTGGGGATTTCAGATCTCCAGACCGCTGGACCAGCTGCGTGGACACTGATAGCTCAATATCCATGGGGGTAAGTATAGCGCGGACCGGGTGTTGGGAAGGGTTTAGGTCAGGGGTTTCAAACTCAATTTCATTGCGGGCCGCATTAGCATTATGGTTGTCCTCAAAGGGCTGGTTGTATCTGTAAGACTATATAAATTTATCCAGGGCTTTTTCTTCTCAGAGAATAGTTGCAGGAACTCAACCCCACCCCTCTCGCCAACCCACATCAAAAGGTGGGTGTGGCCAAGTTGCATTAACAATGCGTTATGTGCGGGGTTCAGGGGTTCGTTACATACCAAGTGCAGGGTTCAGGGGTGCTATTATGTACAGAGTGCAGTGTTGAGGAGTGCACTATATACAGAGTGCAGGGTTTTAGGGATTGTGCTGTGCACAGTGTGCAAGGTTTAGGGGTGCGCTATGTATAGAGTGAAGTGTTGAGGAGTGCACTATATACAGAGTGCAGGGTTCAGGGGTGCGCTATGTACAGAGTGAAGTTTCAGGGGTTCCCTATGTACAGAATGCAGAGTTCAGGGGTGTGCCGTGAACAGAGTGCAGTGTTGAGGAGTGCACTACATACAGAGTGCAGGGTTTAGGTGTGTGCTATGTACAATGTGCAGGGTTCAGGGGTGCGCTAAGTACAGAGTGCAGGGTTTAGGTGTGTGCTATGTACAGAGTGCAGTGTTGAGGAGTGCAATACACACAGAGTGCAGGGTTCAGGGGTGCGCTATGTACAGAGTGAAGTTTCCGGGGTGCTTTACATACAGAGTGCACGGTTTAGGTGTGTGCTATGCATGGTGTGCAGGATTCAGGGGTGCCCTATGTACAGAGAGCAGGGTTCAGGAGTGTGCCGTGTACAGAGTGCAGTGTTGAGTGCACTACATGCAGAGTGCAGGGTTTAGGTGTGTGCTATGTACAGAGTGCAGTGTTGAGGAGTGCAATACACACAGAGTGCAGGGTTTAGGGGCATGTTATGCACACTGTGTAGGGTTCAGTTCTCTTTCACAGGCTGTCCATTTATCATTTCAACTCTTCTCCCTGAGTGCGAGAGCCACATGAAATGGTCTGGTGGACAGGATGCAACCTGTGGGCCCTGTATTTGACACAGGTGGTGTAGGGTGTTACTTCACCTATTCCATTTTCTGAAAAGGTGAAATCATTATCATGCGTTTTCTTTGTGCGTTGACATACATTATTGATGCAGGTCGACTTGTATTTCCAGTGCATTTTTGAAGTTTGGATTTGGAGTGGATAGAGGTAACAGCCATTGACCAAGGCTTGTTAATACCTTCTGCAGCGCATGCAAACACATGTTATATGCATTTTGATGCCTTGTCGTTGAATTCTACTGGCCCTCCAATGCACAAAAACAGAGATAAAAATGGATGTCATATTTTTCTTTAAAACGCACTGCGGTGCTGTGATAAGAAGTCTCTATTTTTATTATTCTTTTATTAGGGGAGAAAGTGGCATTGCTAGCACATTATAATGTGCGCATTTAAAAGGCAACAATGTAAATGGGCCCTTAGAAATATCATTTGGCGGCCATATTGTACCACAGGCGGCAGTCATGTAGGTGTATCTCCAAGAATGATAGGAAGGGATATGTCTCTTTATTCTCAGAAAGTTCGAGTTGGGCACTGGGGACCTATGAAGATGAAATTATAGAAGAAAGGAGGTCTGCTAAAAATGTAGATAATTCTAAATTACGATACATATCTGTAACTATATATATAAAAATGCTGTTTTATAAAAATAAATAGAAATTTTATTTTTTTTTTGGACCTTTAACCCATGAAAGGTAAAAACTAGGCCCAATAATCCAAAAAAAGGACAGCTAGTCCCCTGTGTATTCCAATTCCTCTAATATCTCACCTCTTCCTTACAGAAATCGATGAAGAGTTTATAAGGAACCTGAAAGTCTTTATACCTTGGCTCCTGAGCCCGGAGAAACCTGGATGTTAAAGAAATCAATGGGAATAAAATAACGTGTCGCGGCCTGGTGGAGTATTTCAAGGTAAATGGATAAAGTGTGAAAACTGCAAATGGCTCCAACCCTTCCAGATACAAATAGGTAATGGCCTGGGGTGTAGAGGAATGCCAGGCAATAAGTACAATCCGCCAGTGACCAATGCCATATGAGAAATGCAAAGGTAGACCTGTACTGTCAGTTTAATATTCCTTTTTGTAATACATAAATGTGAACTGTTTTACCTGCCTACCTGTTGTGAAGAGCCTTGTACCATGTGATCTCTGTGATCATTCATAGATTTCACACGTAGTAAGCAATGATGTCAGAAGTGACATCTTGCTTACTACTTTGCATGTGATCACTGATTGGTCAATCAGTGATCACATGATCGGGACCTCGTACAGAGGTCCCGTCCGATGATCGGTGTTTCACAGCGGGCACCGGATCGCGGTGCTGCGCACTCCCGGGGAGCGAGCACAAGCAGGGTGTGGGGAGGCCATTTATAAATGGCCAACCGACCCTGCAGTGCCACCATCCGGCCGTTTATATACAACGGCCGGTCGGGAAGTGGTTAACGATTCAACCTCCCCAAAACCGTGCATAAGGTGTTTGAGGAGCGTTAAAAACGCTTCCCAAACGCTATAGGGGCGTTTTGCAAGCGATAGAAATAAAGTCAAGTGTGAATGAGCCCTCGTACTCTGGTTCAGTGATGTCACAGGTGTCCTATACTCAAATGTCCGCCAGTCCAGCCTACAGGCCACACTAGGCCGGGAACCGTTCAGTAGTCAGTTTCTGAAGTCAGAGAATGAATGTAGAGGAGGATGATGATTGGATCCCGCAGCCCCGCGTGTCACCTGGCTCCTGGCCGCTGCCAGACATCCTTTGTGGAGGGAGTTGGCGGCTTCCCCCCTCCGATCATATGGTTGTTATTAGCGAAGCTTTATAATACGTTCACTGATGTGGAAAAGAACCTTCTGTATTCACATTCAGTCACATGCCAAACAGGCAACACCCGCCCAGACATTATCCACAATCCACAGGGACTCCCGGCCTGCAGCACTCTGTAATCAAGACAATGTGTTCATTCCATTTATACCCCTCTACCAGGAAAAAGACATTATAGGATTCTACTGAGCGAGGCCTTCCGGACAGACCGAGAGATGGGCAACCATGGTGAAGGCCTGCTGAGGAGAAATCACAAACGTTTTCAATGATATCCATGGCAACAAAAGAATATGGCAACCTCAGCAAACTTCGATCTGTGTCATCTTCAAAAAGTTAGAGTACATCCGAAGCCAAAAACTACTAGGGCCTATTCACAGCAGTGCGCTGCGGGAACGCGTACAAAATCAAACGCTTCCGCGCAAAAAAACTCGCTGCCCCTTTGCAGACACATGAATGTGCCGTTAATTATGAATGTGTGTGTGTACGTTGGTGCCTTGCCAAATCAAACGATACCATGTGTTTTGGTGTGGCGCAATTTTTTTTTTTTTTTTTTTTTGAGATTCACACACATAGGGCGGCCCATTGAAATTCATATAGACAGATGGTATACAGAACGCCCCCCCCGAGACATATTTCCTAATTGCGTGATTGGCTCACTCATTTTCCCAGAAGTCTTTACTGAGATATAGGTTAGATATTGGGCATCCCCTACAACAAAAATGTCATTTTTGGTGAAATATTCCGATAATTATATTTCACGCAAAAAGTAGCATTTTTGGTTCTATAGACTTCAATGGAAACGCTGCAGAAAAGCATGTATTGTGTTTTTGGTGAATTTTGCATTTTAAAATCTGCCTAGCAACAAGAAAAAAAAAAGAGTAACTGCAAAACCGCAAAATGCAAAGCAGAAACGACCAAATGCAATCTGCAATCGGTGTGAACCTAGCTTTAGACATGATTTCTCCTTCCGAATATTTAACGTAAAAAGTAGCATTTTTGGTTCTATAGACTTCAATGGAAATGCTGCAGAAAAGCATGTATTGTATTTTTGGTGCGTTTTTCATTTTAAATCTGCCTAGCAACAAGAAAAAAAAGAAAAAAAAAAACGCAGCTGCAAAACCGCAAAATGCAATGCAGAAACGGCTCAAACGTAACCTGCAATCGGTGTGAACCTAGCTTTAGACATGATTTCTCCTTCTGAATATTTAACGTAAAAAGTAGCATTTTTGGTTCTATAGACTTCAATGGAAATGCTGCAGAAAAGCATGTATTGTATTTTTGGTGCGTTTTTTTTTTTTCATTTTAAATCTGCCTAGCAACAAGAAAAAAAAGAAAAAAAAAAACGCAGCTGCAAAACCGCAAAATGCAATGCAGAAACGGCTCAAACGTAACCTGCAATCGGTGTGAACCTAGCTTTAGACATGATTTCTCCTTCCGAATATTTCACGCAAAAAGTAGCATTTTTGGTTCTATAGACTTCAATGGAAATGCTGCAGAAAAGCATGTATTGTGTTTTTGGTTGTGTTTTGCAGTTGCGATTTTTTTTTCTTGTTGCGAGACAGATTTAAAATGAAATGGTGGAAATGGTCATCAGGATAAATATAGAAGGTGAACTCCCAAACGGGGACACAGGCAGCAATAAAAACCTGACGAGGGTTCTAATCCATCTCCAAAAAAATAATAAAACGTTTTGCCTTTAGTAATACTTTAAAGTAATGACATCACTATTAGTGAAAGTGCAATTTTTCGGGGCCATACAGGATGCCTTCATCATCACGTGCCTGACGAAGGGGTCCACCATGGCCCTGAAAGGTTGCACCTAACCACTTAAGAGCCGTCACATAGCAGATATACTGGTACAGGGCGGCTCCTCTAACATGCAAAATCACATATATTTACGTGATTTTGTACAAATAAAACATGTCAAACAAAAATGATAATCATGGTGATAATAATGTGTAAGAAATGATAATAAATGATCAAACAGTGTTCGTAAATGATATAATCATATGGATAGAACAGTCCCAGAACCGTGCAATATAATATAAATGCAGCGCTAAGAAATGATAAGTAACAATACTAATAAATAGTAGGAAGTGAGCGCTTATGCAGCGCATAAGAAGTGGTATCGTGGTGAATCGTCTCTAAATGACGTATCAAAAAGGGATATACAGTCAGGTCCATAAATATTGGGACATCAACACAATTCTAACATTTTTGGCTTTATACACCACCACAATGGATTTGAAATGAAACAAACAAGATGTGCTTTAACTGCAGACTGTCAGCTTTAATTTGAGGGTATTTACATCCAAATTAGGTTAACGGTGTAGAAATTACAACAGTTTGCATATGTGCCTCTCACTTTTTAAGGGACCAAAAGTAATGGGACAATTGGCTTCTCAGCTGTTTCATGGCCAGGTGTGAGTTATTCCCTCATTATCCCAATTACAATGAGCAGATAAAAGGTCCAGAGTTCATTTCAAGTGTGCTATTTGCATTTGGAATCTGTTGCTGTCAACTCTCAAGATGAGATCCAAAGAGCTGTCACTGTCAGTGAAGCAAGCCATCATTAGGCTGAAAAAACAAAACAAACCCATCAGAGAGATAGCAAAACATTAGGCGTGGCCAAAACAACTGTTTGGAACATTCTTAAAAAGAAGGAACGCACCGGTGAGCTCAGCAAACACCAAAAAACCTGGAAGACCACGGAAAACAACTGTGGTGGATGACCAAAGAATTCTTTCCCTGGTGAAGAAAACACCCTTCACAACAGTTGGCCAGATCAAGAACACTCTCCAGGAGGTAGGTGTATATGTGTCAAAGTCAACAATCAAGAGAAGACTTCACCAGAGTGAATACAGAGGGTTCACCACAAGATGGAAACCATTGGTGAGCCTCAAAAACAGGAAGGCCAGATTAGAGTTTGCCAAACGACATCTAAAAAAGCCTTCACAGTTCTGGAACAACATCCTATGGACAGATGAGACCAAGATCAACTTGTACCAGAGTGATGGGAAGAGAAGAGAGTATGGAGAAGGAAAGGAACTGCTCATGATCCTAAGCATACCACCTCATCAGTGAAGCATGGTGGTGGTGGTAGTGTCATGGCGTGGGCATGTATGGCTGCCAATGGAACTGGTTCTCTTGTATTTATTGATGATGTGACTGCTGACAAAAGCAGCAGGATGAATTCTGAAGTGTTTTCGGGCAATATTATCTACTCATATTCAGCCAAATGCTTCACAACTCATTGGACGCTTCACAGTGCAGATGGACAATGACCCAAAGCATACTGCAAAAGCAACCAAAGAGTTTTTTAAGGGAAAGAAGTGGAATGTTATGCAATGGCCAAGTCAGTCACCTGACCTGAATCCGATTGAGCATGCATTTCACTTGCTGAAGACAAAACTGAAGGAAAATGCCCCAAGAACAAGCAAGAACTGAAGACAGTTGCAGTAGAGGCCTGGCAGAGCATCACCAGGGATGAAACCCAGCGTCTGGTGATGTCTATGCGTTCCAGACTTCAGGCTGTAATTGACTGCAAAGGATTTGCAACCAAGTATTAAAAAGTTAAAGTTTGATTTATGATTATTATTCTGTCCCATTACTTTTGGTCCCTTGTCAAGTGGAGGCACATATGCAAAGTGTTGTCATTCCTACACTGTTCACCTGATTTGGATGTAAATACCCTCAAATTAAAGCTGACAGTCTGCAGTTAAAGCACATCTTGTTTGTTTCATTTTTCAAATCCATTGTGGTGATTTATAGAGCCAAAAATGTTAGAATTGTGTCGATGTCCCAATATTTATGGACCCTGACTGTATAAAGTCAATTATAAAGTGACTGTAGTGCATCATAAACAGAGAATGCAATCAAGTCCAGATGAAATAGTGATCCGTGCTCCGTGTTGGTGATTCTCTATGACAAGGGCCAGTAAAATGAATGCACTCACTGTCACGGTCACCCGATCGCCACCCTCAAAATGCGACAATCGCACGACCGCGACCAACAATAATACGTCACGCCCGCGGCGTCAAACCCAGACCTTCTCACCAAACTCGTGACCGAAATGACCGCCAGATCTAAAACCCGCGTGT